TACTCCTCCGTCGACTTGTCTCAACTCTCTGAGGTAAAGTAGCACTCTTCCTCCATCCTGCCACATTGATGTGCTTACTGCCATCATTTAGCAACAAGTCTACTTCCTGTAAAAAAGGATCATTAGAAATTGAAACTTTTCCACACCAGAATTGTGCTCTGTTTTGGTTTCTACAGCATTCACAAATCAGAATGATAACAAATATTACCTCATCATAGATATTTCCGAGTCTTTGCCAACTTTCGAAACGTAGAGGATTGTAGAGTAAATCATATTTGAAGAGTTTTGCGTTATGCTGTACAAATTCTTCCCCTTCCTTGGTAAGAACAAAGCCAGGCCACTTATCAGTAGCACTCATTTCCTCAGATAGGGCAAGGAAATAATACAAGTTGCAATAGACATCCAGATACGGTTCAGAGCTGCAATCATACATGTAGAAAGCTCACTTCTTCAAATTAGAAAACTTATGAATTTAACCATCAAATGATAACAATTACATTTTAAAATTAAAATACAAATTAGAACTTATATTTATGTATACCTCCCAACGGATGATGTCTTCTGTTGTTTAAGGCTTCTCGCATCAGGGAGTATAATCTTTGTTATGGTTTCAAGAAACCCATCAGATCCAGCCTCCTCTGAGAGCTTATCTTCGCACAAATGAGGATCATCTAAGAACTTATCTATTGCATTTCCAGCCAAAACATCGTCTGGTGGTTGTGGAAAATGTTTGCGTATGGCTCTGAGTACTCTTCGAACTTTAACTAATCCTGTCCTCTGTAACATACATGTATAAGCTTAGAAAAACAAAAGTTGGGAAACTAAATAGCTGCGGGTGCTACAACGTTTTTTCATTAGAACCCTTGTAATAAATTGTTATGATGCACACACATGGGAAAAAAAAAGGGGAGAGAGAGAGAGAGAGAGAGAGAGAGAGAGAGCTCACAGAAGAAGCCTTTGCATAAGGTAGTATGTACTGAAAAACATCAGCACACTGTTCCTTTGTCTGGTAATCACCAGGGCTAGTATTTTTGTGCACAACTAAATCATCTTCGTAGGATGAATCAGATCTTATATTTAGACCATATAAGCAGAAGAAACACTGATCCAATGCATAATCAATTTTCAACTCAAGTTCCTCCCTTTCATCTTCAAGGAGCTCAGCTCCGGCTTCATTCAATTGAAAATTTTCTTTTTCACATCCGTTGAACTTGCCACCAGACCCATCTACACCTTGCTTTCCACCTTCCAATCCCACGCTGTCTTTATCTAGGGTATTATCAAATGAAGTGCTTTTGGAAGGTGTCCTTTCAGAAGCATCCTTTCCGGAAGCACTGGTCTCATCTATTCCTGTGTGAACCATTTCCAAATCAGTATCTGATTTGGCATGACTGTTTAGGCAAAGTTGCTCTTTGTATTGAGCCGTTTCCTTGTTTAATGAATTAGATTTAAACTTCATATCCAAGGCCAATAGATGCTTAATTGCAAACTTAAGAAATGTTCCTTCCTCCCCTTCACCGCCCAGACCAGCACAGCAGAGCCCATACTCAGCCAGCAAATCATGCATTGTGACAATTAAGTCAACCTATGACGCAAAGTTGGGAAAATTAGAAAAAGGGAAGAAAGAGTGAAACAAATATATATATCATCATGAAAGGATTCACTGTATGAACAACTTGAGGAGACAAGACTCACTTGAGTTTTAACAGTTATCGTGATGTTGAGGTGTTGGAGCTTGCAAAATGCAATGGAAGCTTCAATAAAGCAACTTCTTTCAATTTGATCAGTAATTACTAGATCAGAAGACTTCTTAGAGAGGAATATGCTTGCAACGTTGCACATGACTGACAAGAGCAAGCATTGCATATCACCTATGCTGCTCATTGGAATAGTGTCCTGCAAGCATAAGATATAATTATGTAGTGCATAAAACATGAACCTACACAGACTGATCCATAAGGTTATTCACTTCTGAAAACATAATTCTACGTTTGAATGGAACGAATGTACTGAAATTTTACAGTTTGAGGTAAGCATGACCAAATATCACAGCTATTTATACATAAATACTGATTGACTTACGGAAGCTCCAGATTGATCAATAAAGTTCTTCACTTGGGACACACATTGAGAAATAGCCTTCACTTCCTCTGCAACCAAGAAATTCCAGCAATGCTTGCTTGAACTTTCTTTTGTATCTACATCAGAAGCATAGCGAGGGTTTGACCCGGATTTCAATAGGAAGGATTTACAGGAAGCAAGGCATTCATCGATCCCTGCTGCTGCCATAAGAATTTGCAGTTTCCGCCGATGGCAACTCAAATAAACATCAACATCCATAGGTTTTGTCTTCTCACATGCTTTGATTAAAATATCTAGTGCTGATAGTTCAACAGAAGTAATTCCTTCTCCCCCTTTATCAGCTAAGCGCAAGGGTAATGCATCAGGGGGAACATTTTTTGTTGCAAATAGAAGTGGAACAAGCAAGGACATGCACTCCATATACATTTCTTTCTCAATCATCTCACCTAAAGTCTTCTCCATCAAGAAATCAACCTTTAAAATGTTGATTTCATGGCGAATTCTATGAATGGTTAACTCTTTAACAACCTTGCAATAAGGGAGGCGGATCACACATTGGGAATCAGTCGTATTTTCCTTCTTCGCCAAAAGTGACAAGGAAATACAGAATTCTTGGTGGGCTTTTTCCTTGTTGCCATCCAAAATACATAACCGTCCACTTAACCAGAAAAACCGAACCCAGAAGGAACTGTTACTTGTTAAAGACGAACCATCTAATGGTACATCCGGGCAAACAGAAGTATTCGCTGATATTCCACTAGTACCAAAGAATCTCTCAAGCCCAGAGATACTTTCATCATCCACAGCTACAGATTCAATAATTTTACAAAGATGATAAGATGCCTCAGACATGAACTCAGATAGCCTGGAAACATCGGAAGACAATGACCCAAGGTCATAATAAAGCTCAGCAAGAAAAAGGCAACACTCACGACTCCTATCCTTCCCCCAATTCCTTGTCATCTTTTCCAACTCCAGGATCTTAATAAATGCATCCTGATACAAAAGACCTCTACTTGCAGCCTCCTCTAAAAGCAAATGGGCCAAATGGAAAGCACCATAATTATTTGAAGTTTTTTCGACAAATCTGGAAACATCGCCATATTCAGTATCCCATGGATTAGTTTGATCAGGACATGAAACAACACAATTACCGGAATGACCAGAATCTTTGATTCCTGATCCACCAGCAATAAAAGGTTCTAGATATTGAACTACAACCTTGGCCTGATCCTTACCGTTACCAAAGTCAAGATCTTCTTTCCCCGGTTTACGACTTCTAAGCCTTTCGAGACGAGTACTCCGCCTCTCTTGTGGTTGTAATTCTAGAAGATTCGTGGCTTTTTCTTTAACAGTACCAGTTTTTTCAGAGTTACAATCACCAAATACAGCATTTCCACCAATTGGGGATAAGTTAAACCCTTTCCTTTCCTCAAATCCTACGGTACTTTCTGAATTAGAAGGTAAGTGTAAAATCAATCTTACATCCCCAGATTGGTGTGATTTTGCAGCCCCCATCTCAGATTGACTCCCATTCAATGGAAGTAAGATATCCATGAGTGCATCAACAAGAGCAGCCCAAGAAGCTTCTGCCAGGTTCAGATCTATGCTCTGCTTCAGCTTCTTTGATGCAACGCCCTCCTCTATATTTTCATCACTTGCTTTTCTCTTGTCAACAAATTTTAGACGGACATGTTTAGGTTCCAGCTTATCTATACCTCTAGGAGCATATGGAACTGGCTCGGATTCTTCAATGGTTTCCTTGACATGCAAAGCACGAGAATGTGATGGCCAATGCCTCAAAATTAACTCTGCAACAGAAAGGCATGCAACCTCATCACCAATAGCAATAAGAACTTCCAATAATTTCTCCATGCAGTTCCCTGCATAAAAAGATCAGAGAAAGACATAATCTGTCACAAATACGGTGCTGAGTCCATCATTATGGAATATAGAGCAGTTATTTTGGCATGGACGTATAGAACATATTTAAACACCATAAATTGCTCACAATTACTAGGGCTGCATAAAAGCCCTTGCTCAAATGCCCAACGGGATATACTCAGAGAGCCCATTGAGCATGACAATGTTCCCAGCTGGTTCCAGACAACAGAATCTTTGGTATCAATCTCTACAGCTTGAAGATAACATCGTAAAGCACTCTCATAATATGCCGAACCTTGTTGAAGGTAAACATTAGCAAGGTTCTTCAGTGCCAAGAATCTGCATCAGCAAGAAAAATATAATGGAGAAGATATTTAAGAACATGTTGTTCATTTTCTTTCCTTTGTATCCTTTCTATTGTCACAAAAGTATTAATAAAAGAAAATTTACAAAACTAACATTCTACTGGAGATTGATTCATCCTATGTGAATTAGAAAATTGTAAATCCACTCAGAGCATTGCACAAAATAATAGATATTTTTCATAAAGTTGGCCAAGACCTACAATAGACTATGGGTAGTGGATATATCCAAACCTGAGTTGCAAAAGATGGCAATCGCTGACATTACCATCCACCTGCATGGCAATAGACACTTGATTCAGAGGCAACCAACAAGACTGCCATCTTAAAACTGTTTGTTGAAAGTCTAACGCTCACCTGAGCATTTGCTATAAGAGGATCTTGTAGGACAGATTCTAACAGCTCGGTAGCCTTTTTGTATTCTTTAGCTTGTAACTTGTGAAGTCCTTCATGATAAGTTTGTGAAAGATGAAATTCCTGCCATGACCAAGCTAAACAGTATGAATTCTATTCTCGGACAGTTATCTAACCAAAAAAGAAAGCATTTCAGCTCAGAATATCTAAAAGGTTCGGAATTGGGCTACAATACAGAAAGAAACCGTGTTCAATTCACATTTTATGGTGCATTCAATTTGTCGAAACCACGAGTTTAGTACTCTCTCCTTTTCCGTAACTTCTAGTGAAATGTGAACAATACTCTTTTTATTTTTATTTTGGTTTGCAAACAATACTCAAATTCACAACACTCACCACAAGCCCAGAAAATCCCAATTCATTGACATAACAAAAATATGACGCATTCTTGACCTAACTCCAGCAAAAGGTAGCTAAATGTAGAAGAAAATTACAAATACAAAAAATATGTGAGAGAGAGAGAGAGAGAGAGAGAGAGAGAGGGGCATGCCTGAGCTTCTTTGGTGGGAGCTAAAGGTTCCCATTTGCCTTTGGATTCAGTATCATTGATAGCTGCAATTGAGAACTGAAGAAACATAGAAATTCAGAATTGGAAAACACAAAAAAAAAAAAAATTACTAAGGAAATTCAATCGAGTAAAAGCAACGTAAATTAGCTCACCATTGTCGACAATTCGAATGGGGCAATGAAGCAGCTTCGCAGAGAATTTGGGCTTTCAGCTAATACTAATGCTCACTACGACTACTTACTAAGGGGATTTTTAGGGTTTTGAAATCCCTTTAGAAATTGAAAACAAGAAATTGTTTGTAGCTCACTTGCTGTTGTTATGAAGCGAGGGAGATTTCATTAGGAAAACGATAAAAACGCCAAAACACAGTGCGTCGTTTTAGCGGTTTTATCAAGCAAGAAAGACTAAAACGCGGCGTTTAAACGTGCCACCGTTTTAGAGCTCGTTTTTCGGTCAAGCGTTTGTTATTTCCTTTTACGTTTTTTTTTTGCGCTTTTATTTATTTATTTCTTGGATCATTCGTTTTTTGCTGAGACGATGGCTCACTGATAGATTCCTGAGAAAATATGGACTCGGGCAATGCGAGTTTCTGAAGCTGTTATTGCAACCGCTGATCGATTATTTGGTCTGTTTGGTTGCCGAGAAAGCCTGAGAAAGGTAATGAAAACTAGCATGCATGCAAAACGACTAGTCGTTCGTGTTTTGACGATGTCTGCTGTTAAATGTTCCCAAAGTAATTAGATGTGCATCACTATAAAACTTCACTTAGATTTCTGTGATTCCTTTTTCACTGACACATTCAAAAGCAAGTTTGCTTTCGGTGCTCTTATTTGTATTGCATATAGTTTGTGCACTTGATAAAGAAAGGGATAAATTTTCTACCAAAATTAAAGTATTTTAGTTAGAGTGAGTCTTAGGGGGGAAGTACTTCAGCGGCCATACTAGTTATTTTTTAAAAAAATTAAGGAAAAAAAAAAACCCTAAACCCTATAGCCACGCGGCTCTCCTATGTATTTAAAAAATAAATTAAAAAAATACCCGCCTAATAGCTCCTCAATGGCCCCTTTTTTTTTCAAAATTTTTTAAAGAGCATAAAATTTATAAAAAAAAAAATTCACAGTAAGAATTAACAGCATAAAAAGAAATTGATGTGATTTCAAAAATCATTAGACTAACAAACCTTTACTTTGCCCCTCTTAGGTCCCCACTATAAGTGTATTGCAATTACCCTTCTGCTCAAACAAAGAAAGGTTATACTGGAAGCAAAACTTAAGCTTTCTAGTTTGAGAGTTTGCAAAGAAGGGTGCCCTAGCAATTTTGAAATTTTGTGGCCTACTTTCATTAGTTTATACCTTATAGTTATTAATTTGCTAGTTTCAACATATCCAAAACATATATTGAAAAGAGAGAAATTTCACACTAAATCAATTTGAGAGTTCAATTTTTTATTCTTTTTTTTCGTGGGAATGTTTACCTTTTGTCTACCTCATTTTCTCTAGTGCTACTAAATTATGCTACTGCACGCATTATTTGTCGTTGAGAATTGCATGTTGAGTTATAGTGGTCTTGGTAATTGCTTCACTTTTCAAACAACATTTTACATGAAAAATACTACCACTATACGCATAAAACTTTGCTTGAAATTGTTGTTCTGGTTGACAAAGAGATTGCAAAATCAATATCTTGCATTTTTCTTACAACAAGTAAGAAATAATCTTAGCCTCTCAAATTGTTTCATAGTTAGTAAAATATGGAACGGGAAAAATATGAATAAAATATGTACGTGTTTTATTCGGCAAAGTTTTGGCAAGTTACGACTGAAAAGTTTGGCCACTATATAATATTTTAAACAAGAAAAATACGTACTTATGTGTACAGTATAGACTCAGGTAATGATCTAATAGTAATGGATAATGCTATAAACTACTCTTAGCGATAAATAAAAATTGAGGAAAAATAATTTTTAAACAAAAGATCAAAGTGTTATGTAAAGCATATAGCCATTCAGCTATCCTATTTTGTAAAAGAAGACCCTAACAAAGCCCCTCGGCTATACTCTTTTTAAAAAAATCAAGATTATAGCCGCCCGGCGATACTATTTTTGGTAAAAAGAACCATAGTATAGCCGCGCGGCTATACGTATTAAGTATATTATTAAAAGGGGTATATAAAAAAGACCATAGTAAAGCCGCACGGTCGTTTTGAAAAAATCTCATGTATAGCCAGGCGGCTATACGATTTATATAAATTTTAAAAATAAAAGAGGACCCCGTCTAGTGATTCGGCGTGTCAAAAACCCATTTATAATAAAAACCATAGTATAGCCATGCGGCGATACGCTTTAAGTATATGTATAGCCACGCGGCTATACTCTTTAAGTTTGTTAAAAATATATATATATAAAAGAAAAGTTACCCTTCTTTTTATTTATTCAAATATACTTTTATTTATTTATTAAATATGAAATATCTTAGCCTTATTTAATTACTTTAAATACTAACTTTTTAAATTATTTTAAGGACTTTTTAAAAATAAATTTATTAAAAATAAATTTTTTTAGTTTGATATTTGTAATAAAGTAATATCTTTGCATTATTTAATTACTTTAATTAGTTTGTAGTTATTATTTCTTTTGTGAATAAAAAAATCATGGAAAATTCTTTTAATTACCAAAAAAATATTGTAAAAACTATGTTAGTATTCCAAAAAATTGATTTTAGCCTCTGAACCCAAAATTCAAGTCTCAAACAAAAAACTCTAACTTCTAAACTTGTTGCAAAACTGTTCTCAAGCCTCAAACTCTAACCATGAGTCTACTTTAGGACACTTATGACTCAATTAGGCTTAGATACTCACATAATTCGACCTAGTATTTTACGATAATTTAATAGTTATAATTAAGTCATATCTTAGCCTTATTTAATTACTTTAATTAGTAATTATTATTTTCAATGAATATTTAGTATTTAAATATTTTATTTTATTTCAGAAATTACTATTTAATTATTTTAAATTATTTTATGGACTTGAAACACTATTTTTACTTTCCAAAAGTGTTTTTAAAATAGTTTATATTATTTAAAAATCCTGTAAAATTATTTTAAGCACCTAAAAATATTGTAAATACTATTTTAGTATTCCAAAAATTGATTTTAGCCTCCACACCCAAATCCAAGTCTCGGGTTTATCAAGTCGACAATTCGAATGCGGCAATGAAGCAGTTTCGCAGAGAATTTGGGCTTTCAGTTAATACTAATGCTCACTATGGGGATTTTTAGGGTTTTGAAATCCCCTTAGAAATTGAAAACAAGAAATTGTTTGTAGCTCACTTGCTGTTGCTAAGCGAGGGAGATTTCATTAGGAAAACGATTAAAACGCCAAAACACTGCGCGTCGTTTTAGCGGTTTTATCAAGCAAGAAGGACTAAAACGCTGCGTTTAAACGTGCCACCGTTTTATAATCTTATTAGGGCTCGTTTTCCGGTCAACCGTTTGTTATTTCCTTTTACGAGATTTTTGCTGTTTTGTTTTTTGGATCATCCGTTTTTGGTTGAGCTGATGGCTCACTGATAGATTCCTGAGAAAATATGGACTCGGGCATTGCGAGTTCCTGTACCTGTTATTGCAACCGCTGATCGATTATTGGTCTGTTTGGTTGCCGAGAAAGCCTGAGAAAGGTAATGAAAATATTTTGACTTGATTCAGAAGACTGAAGGGTTTGTATTATTTCGTAAATCCAAATCTTCAACACCCACTCGCTGAAAATAAAGTTGTTCACTTGATTGCTCTGCAGTTTTTATTACCCACCAAGTATTTGATGAAATGTGCAGATGAAGAAACAAATCCACTGGAATGTGTACTTGTGATTGGTTAGGTTGAAGAAGTAAGAAAGCAGCGTGCCACATTCGTCCACAACCACAATGCGTCAGATGCGTACTCGTAGTCTTATGATCACACTCTACATAATCTGCATCGTTATCAGCTGCTCAAATTCAAGCCATGGGAACACGTTAGTATATCCAAATGAAACCCAATTTGCACATTTTTCTGCTTTGATGTTAATCTCTGGGCACATTGTCTTAAACCCAATTCACTACTCTGCACCTTTTTACAGGACAGACGGCAAAGTTTTGAATGTTGGTGAAGAGCTGTGGAAGGAAACTCTGCCACTAAAAATGGGTTCACGCCTTTACCAGCTTCAAGGACTGAAGCCTGATACGTGGTACGAAGTGAAAATATCGTATCCAGCTTCTGTATGTGTTTCTAAAACTTTCAATGGAGTTTCTTTATGTTGCTCAGCAATCCCTTTATGGGTTCCTTAACTTGCATTTGTGTGTTCACAGATACCTGCTAGATTTTCCATACAACTCAAGAGAGGGGACTTGGAATCTGCACTGACCGGGAACAGAAGATTACTAAATACAGAAAAGCTGATTTTCAAGACTGAAAGTCTTGGCTCGAACGATCAGGTTGGATTTTTGCTGCTGAATCTTTGAATGCTTAGTTTCATTAATTTGAATTTCATGAGATGCCCAGTGAGTTTTGGACTCTGCTGACTACTTAGGGTGGCATGTATGTGTTGGTGAGTGTGGAGCCAGAAGGAGTTGTTGCAATACCAAATGTGCAGGAGAGGGAACACATCATTTTCAATATAGGTAATGTAATATCAATCAAATTTGGCATGAGAAATTAACATGTATTTTTTACTATAATTTTTGCTGTTTAATGCTAGGCACATTACAATTTGTTTGTATAACAAAGTTTATCTCTTACATGTTGGTGGCAGTTTGTGATGAACTACTATTGGGAATTCCGTACAAAGCTTGGTGGGTTGTAGGCTTTGTGTTGGTGTGCTTGGTTTTGGCGTTCACCATCCCAGCATTTCTTCCACCCTTTCTGTTACGGCCAGTGGATCAAAATGCTTCTAAAGATTCTTGAATATCTGGCTCATAAAAGTGGTTGGCTTCATCAAGTTTTGGTTATTTCAGTATGATCACGCAGCTCCATTTTGGACCAATTGAGGCATTGGAGTATCTAAGATTTCAGTTTGGTCCCGCAGTACATTTTGAAGTAACTTCTGGGCATTGACCTGACCTTCATGATTGGCTTGCAATTCGAATGGTGCGTTTTCTAGTTTCTCTTTTTGCTTGTTCTCTCAAAGAAGAGTAGATGAGATAAAGTCCTATTAGCATCAAAATTTTATGCTTTTTAATTTTCCTTTGCGAATTGGATCTTGCAACTGTAGACAGATGAGCACATTATCTCAAATTTGTTATGCACTCAGGCAATGAAATCACTTGAGCAGATGTAGATATATGGATTAGCACATTATTTCCTCTAAGTTTTCCATTTTTCTTGTCTATTTTTGTTTGTCTTCCACATCAATCGATGAATGTAATGTGATTGAGAATGGTGAATTGTTAGGGGATTTATAGCAGAACAAATATTAGCTTCACAAACAAACAAAAACACCAACCGCATTTGACAATTTACACTCCTCCTTAAACCAACTCACGCCCACCATTTCTATATATCAAGCATCACGAACTGCCCGTACGCATTAGCCCTTTGCATAGCAGCCGCATAGTTAGATACATAGTTATATAACCATGCCATCACCGTCATTGCTGCCATGCCACAACCGCCGGAGAAAAGAAAGCCGGCTGCTATGAGGAGCATGACTATCCCAGCCGGGACTAGAATTGGACTAAACAGCACCAGGACGGGGGTAGCCATGATCAGGGCAATCACCGTCCCGGTCAGAGTTAACCCGGACAAGAATAACAGCGTGGCACCAACTGTGGCTGCGGTCAAGAGCTTGACTGTTTGGTGTGAGGGCGGAGCTGACCGGCCGTAGAGGTTCTGGGTAATTTCTTTTGATTGATTCGCCATGTTTGATCAAGAAATCTCCGTGAGACCCTGTGGATGCTGTGGAAATTATGGGGTTTATAAAACGTGATGTCGTGTGGTACGTGGCGGGCTGCATGGGATTGAGTTTTGTGAACTGGAAACTTGTCAAAAGAAGTGAATTTGCGTGGCAATTTGTCAGCAGCAAGGAGACCACCATGTGTTGATCAGGTGGCTGCTCTGTTTTCCTCTGCAACTGGGTTGTCCAGAAAGCCTAATACCAATGAAACGACTTGTGGTTATTGTTTAAATTTAGTGCATCCAGCAAATGGAATAACTGCTATTGCTCCCAGGTAAGCTTATGGGTTAGACTTAAGAGGTGTCCTAGCATTCGTATAATGTTTCTAGCATGTAGTGTTTATAAGACTAATGAGGATTTGGGGCAATTGCTTCCCAAACAAATTCTGAATTCGAGTCCTAATATCCGAATCCTAATATCCTTTTAGTGTTTCTGAGTTTAGTATATACCCCTCTCAATAAGAAACGTCCTAATTTTTTTTTTTAAATAGTGTATCCAAACAACCCAATTTGCACATTCTAGTGTGCTTTTGCTTTGATGTCAATATAGATCCTCAGAAACATGGTCTTGCACCGAAGTTACTGTTTTATTATTAATCTAGTTTTCAGCTGATCAAAATGCTTGAAACGCTTCTTAAAATTTTCACTCAAATTTAGTATATGATCATCAGTGTTTTAAAAGTGCAGATGCTGCAGTTCATTAGGAGCAACTTCTCTGGGAATTGACCATCAACTTGCAAATGAACCCAAGACATGCGTACATAGCAGGGCTATGAAAAGCAGAAATCAAACGAGTTTTTATTTTCATCAACAAAAAGCTAAAACACCAAACCAACAGGATATTTTATTTTCTCGATACATAAACCCACCCTGAAATTCAAAAAGGGCAGAAGTACTGCCCATACGAGTAAGCTCTTTTCTTTGTAGCCACATAGCTAGATATGTACTTGTACATCAATGTCAACGTTGTTACTGCCGCCACGCCGCACCCGCCAGAGAAAACAAGGCCGGCTGCTGTCAGGAACACGACTATCCCAGCTGGGACTAGGATTGGACTAAACACCACCAGCACTGGTGTGGCCATGATCAGGGCCATCACTGTCCCTGTTAACGTTAACCCGGACAGGACTAAAAGGGTTGTACCAGCTGCGCCTGCTGTCAAGAACTTGCCAGTCAGGCGAAGGGAGGATGGTTGGGCTGCTGACTGGTCGTGGTCCTGGAGCTTCAGGGTGACGTGTCTTGATTGATCAGCCATAGTGATCAGTGATACAAAGAGTCAGTGCTGCAGGAGGGGACGATATATAGATGTGATCATGTGATGACGGGGATGTGGCGTGGCACGTGGTGGGTTGCATGAGTTCTGCGTTTACAAATGGGAAACATGCATGTGCTACGTGGCAATAGAATGAATGCTTTACGTGGCAGTTCTTATTTCTGGCACTATCTGAATCTGAAGTACAAAAATCAATCGTTTTTTATGAGGTGGTTGCTCTCCTGTTGATGGATTTACTGCGAGCTTCTGTAGCTCTCACTGTAACTGCTGTCAATTACTTGCTTCTGTTACCTCTGCTATGTACGTCATTAGTTGCTCAAAGAGCATGAGAAGTAAATACAATAAAATACAATATATCAAGGCTAAAAGTCAATTTTAGTCTACGTAGGTTGTCCATTTTTCCATTTTTAATCTCTGTAATTTTAATTTTACCAATTTAGTATTTTATTCTTGAATTCATCCAAAATTCTGTCCAAAATATCATTCGTCAAGAAATGAGATGGAAATTTAAATGTATCTTTAAATTGCAATAAAATTAAGGGAGTTTCACTAAAACACCCAAAATGGAGGTTGAAATTATAAAAAAACCCAATACCCAAAACACTTTATAAACACACCCAAAACCCATCATTACACACACTCAAAACCCATTTATAAACACACCAAAAAAGTTGACTTTGGGGTTGATTTTGGGTGTGTTTCTATGTTTAAATAGTGATTGAGTTTTTTTATAAATACATGTCTAGGATTGAGTTTATTTATAAATTTGTATAAAATTAAACTACACATGAGTTAAATTGCCAAAATTAAAACCATAGGGACAAATTTTGTCCAACTACATAGAACATAAAGTGACTTTTTGCCATGTATCAAAAAGCACCAAAATCTTTTGTGATAAAATCTCTCACACTATACAGATAAAACCCTAAGTTATGACTTTTGTGATAGAATTTTATAAGTTAAGTGGGAATTTCACACCGAGTAATTTGGGAGGGTGTATTCAATTAAGATTTTAAAAGAGTTCAATGGAGTTATAAAGTTTAATATATTCCAAATAGAGTTTGACTAAATTATATATGATGTACAACAACAAAGAAAAAATAACATAACAAAAGAAAATTGCACACCATACGATTGCAAGAAGAGAAGATAAGAAACTTTTTACCTCCACTTGAGAAGCATACACGAGGGTACAACAACAAAAACGCACACGATATATGAATTGCAAGAAGATCATATGTATATATGAAAACATACGTAGAAAAATAAGAGATGAGATTTTTTTACCTCAAACAAGCACACACGTTTAAAGATTATGGAAAACATAGAGCATGTTCAAAGTTTTCAAGATTGACATAAGATTTGTCAGGGCCTTTGGTATTTATACTTACCATTTTAAATTCTAACAAAATCGGACAAATCATTAATTCTTTCAAAATAAATAACTTTTTGAATACACCTAAATTTCAATACATTTTTTGAAAGTTAATAGGCATATGAATTGAATACACCCAAATTTTTATAAACTCTTTTAAAATCTTAATTAAATACACTTAAACTTTTAAACTATTTTAAAAGCTTAATTGGATATGTAATTATACATCCATGTTAACGTTGTTACGGCCGCCACGTTGCAATCGCCGAATGGTTGCTGTCAGGAATACGTCTATCCCAGCCGGTACTAGGGTCAGACTAAACACCAATAGGATTGGGGTGGTACTAGGATCGGACTAAACACCAATAGGATCAGGCCCATCACTGTCCCGGTGAATGATATCCTGGACAAGAATAAGAGGGTTGCACCAATTGCGCTTGCTGTCAAAACCTTGCCAGCCTGGCGCGACGATAGTTTTGACTGGTCATGGTCTTGGAGCTTCCGGGTCTATTGACTTGACTAATCGGCCATGATCAATGGTTGTGATTCACACTAATGTGAAGACAACATGGGAATCTATTTAAGGAAGGGGCTGAACAGACATGTGGTGTAAGCAGCGGTAGACCCATGAATTTTTCAGCGGAGGTGCAATTTTTAAAAGCTAAGAGCTCAAAAAAAAAAACAAAAACAAAAACAAAATTGGCGTTTGCTTAAGAAAAAAATATATGCATCTGACTTTGATGCATACACAGTTTGATGAAATTGGGTGATGTTAAGGAATTCCCAAAACTCAATTAAATAAAGAAAACTCTTAATTAAAACCCAATTGAGTAAGGAATTATAAAAATCCAATTAAGTAAGGAATTATAAAAACCCAAGAATTATAAAACCCAACTAAAACCCTATAGAAGCCCATGAAACGAAATGGCCCAGCTGTTTCCGTGCTTTAAAAATAATAATAATAATAATAAAACTTTGGTCCAAAACGACGCCATTTTGGCCAGGCTTCATTTAAAAAAAAAAAAAAAAAAGGATTTTTATCACAAAACGTCTCTGATGTTTGTGAACCTATCAGATTGCATCCTTAAAGTTTTTTTTGTATCACTCATGGTCCCTAACGTTAATATAGGTGCTCTTAAATAGTCATCTGTAAAAAAAACTGTTAAATCAAAGGATATAATTATCAAATCAATCCAAAATTAATATATATAAGTCTTCTCCCTCTCCTCTTTCTTTTCTGTTGTCTTTTGGGATATATTAAAACGCATGGGGAAAAGTATTTAAAGTAGAATTGGAGTTTGTACTATAATCTGTATATATTATATATATATATATATATATATATAATCCCAATAGAATTTGCAAACTATAACATTCAAAATTTGTAAACACAAAACTAAAATTGGCTCAATTCTCAGTTGCAATCCAAATTCTGGACAGACCTTGCTGCCAAATTGAACACCATAGAGCAGCTCAATTCAGCTGTCTTCGTTGTCTTTATGATCAGCATCAACTCAACCTTTCCCTTCAACTCGACTGTGCTGGTCAGCAACAGCAAGCCATTGTTGACCTCATTTCCAAGAGCAGACTTGCTTGGAAACACATTAGAATTCACATTCACAAGCACAGTGATTTTTTTGGTGGATCACAATCTGACTTTGCCATTTGGAATATAAACTTGCCCAACAACCACACCTTGGTATGTAAACACGATGGTGCCGTCACGAAACTTTAAAGGACCCCAGTTTGGGTTTCGCACTCTGACTTGTGTCACGAAGCTCATGTCGAACGAAGGTGTTGCCGGGGAATTGGTGAGTGTTTGGATATAGAAAAGAAAGAAGAGAAAAGGAAATGAAGTAGAAAAGAAAGAGGGGAGAGAGAAGACTTATATATAAAAAATAATTTTGGATTGATTTGACGATTATATTTTTGGATTTAACAGTTTTTTTTAACAGATGGACTATTTAAGAGCACTTATATTAACGTTAGGCATCATGAGTGATACAAAAAAACTTTAAGGATGCAATCTAATAATTTCGCAAACGGCAGATATGTTTTGTGATAAAAAGCCTAAAAAAAAGAAAGTGCGCGTTGCGCACAACAAACAGCAATGCCACACCAGATCTCTTGCGCATTTCATCGAACAGGTTGCATGCGTCTATGGTCTGAGCAAAGGTGCAACTCCAGCGGCTCTTATGGAGTTTTCCGGCAACCGGATGTGTAGGTGCACCTCCTTGCGGCTGCACAGGTCTGACACTGGGTGCAAGATGTCATTTGGGTGAGCCAAGTGGCTTGTTGCATGAGTTTGAGTTCACGAAGTTGAGATACGTAAGATTCCTCGCTGTCTCAACGTGTTCATGTTGAGTAATTATAGTGTGGTAAAGAGTATGACTACGTGATATAATTTATTCATGTATTATAATATAAATGTATATTTATTGATGTTATATAGTGGAGAAATCTAAATTATATTAATTACGTGGACAAATTATACAGCATGGCTGTATTTCAGTAGTGTGAACTGAATCCAAGGCCAGCTGGCAATGACTGGGGATGTTGTTGCGGCTGTGACTTTGATGTCTCGGTGACATTAGCGCTGCTCATATTAAACAACCCCGAGGACGCTCCTCATCCAAATAAAGAAACCGGGTAAAATCATCTGCGTTTACTACCGTTGATCTCGTGGGCCCCACGAGACTCAAGAATATGGTAAATCTACACGGGAACAGACAAGTACCCCTAAAATTTGAAAATCTTTAGACAATGCCAGAGCGGGAGGGAGCACGTGGCGAGAACTCAGAATTCGACCGTTGCGAAGTGCTTATTCAAGCCCCGTCTTTAGCCTTCGCTTTCCTTGTATCTTTCGCCCCTCTCTTTCTCTTTCTCTCTGTATCTCTCTCGCTTTCTCTCTCTTCTCTCTCTCATGGCGATCGCTGCGGAGAACCAAGCCCAAGAGAAGGTCAGATTTAAAGAAAAAACTTTCAAGTTTCAATTTTTTTTGTAGCCGTTGTGATCTTGAGTCCCCAAATTCAAATGTTAGGGTTTTAATTTCTTTTCGGTTCTTTTGTTTTTCTCTGAAGATGAGATGTTTAATAGTTTTTCTTGATGATGAATATAATGGTTTCTTTGGGTATATGTGAATTTTGAGATCGCATTATCAAAATTCGAATTCGAGCCTCTGAGTGTAGGGTTTTCTGATTGGAAATTCGGGCATTTGGGCTCGAGGTGTAGGTTAATTAGCTTCAATAGGGTTTAAAGTGCTAATTGGTAAATGTTTATATATTTAGATTCTATGAGGATTTTTAAATATGGGTTTGCTTTCATCAGGCTTCTTCGGAGGTTTCAGCGACGGAGACAAGAAGATGGACGCTCAATGACTTCGACATTGGAAAGCCTCTTGGCCGAGGAAAGTTTGGTCACGTCTATTTGGCAAGAGAGAAACGGGTATGTTCTTCTTTTTCTTCTTCTTTATGGCCATGCATTTTGTAAATTTTGGCTTTCTTTAGCTGCTATTTCAATTATTTTTGGTACTAGCATTCATGGGGTTTTCTTGTGGGGTTTGTTTAGTCAAGGAATTAATCTTCGATAGCTGTCGACTTGGGTTTCATTCTTGATCTGCCAAGATTGAAATGAAGAAGAAAATAAAAATTTGAAAAACATGTTTTATGTACCACAAATAGAACTGCCAGTTTTTGTGGCTTATAATTATACTTATGTAGTCCGGAGTGCCAATATTCTATTCACTTAAAAAAAAAATTGGAAAGCAGATGAAGGGTGAATGTGTGTGAGAGAGAGTGAGAAATTTCGGTTTATAATATGCATTCTTATCAAATGAAGTGGAATTTAAATGGTGTCTCTCTGTTTGCCTACTTTCAATTGTGCACCTAACTTGATATTTTTATCCCTGGAACAGAGCAATCACATTGTGGCACTTAAAGTCCTCTTTAAGAGCCAGCTGCAACAGTCTCAGGTTGAACATCAGCTTCGTCGGGAAGTTGAAATACAAAGTCATCTTCGACATCCCAATATCTTACGCCTTTATGGGTACTTTTACGATCAGGTATATTGCTCATAGCCTCATAAGCTGCTAATATTTCAACACCTTAAACTTGTCTTACTCAGTAGAAACACAGGTGTTTTACCATTCATTTGGAAATTTATTTATTGCAGAAACGAGTTTATTTGATTTTAGAATATGCTGCCAAAGGTGAACTATACAAGGAACTTCAGAAGTGTAAATACTTCAGTGAAAGACGTGCTGCCACTGTAAGTCGTTTTTATGTAGTTTCTTCTAATTCAGTTTCTTTTGCGCTTATACCATTTACCATGTCACCTATAGTAACAAGAATGACTACTCCTTTGGGACATAAACCAATTTAGGTAATTTATTTTTGAGAACTTTGACTAAAAATTCTAATGTGTGTACTTATCTTGCATGGCCAGTATGTTGCATCGTTGGCACGGGCCCTTATATACTGCCATGGAAAGCACGTAATTCACAGAGATATCAAGCCAGAGAACCTTCTAATTGGTGCACAGGTTTGGATTGCCGTCCTTGCTATTATATCTTTTATTTTTTAAGGATACATTATCAAATCAATGTGGATCTCCTTTGACAGGGTGAACTCAAGATAGCGGATTTTGGGTGGTCAGTGCATACATTCAACCGCAGGCGGACAATGTGTGGTACTCTTGATTACCTCCCTCCTGAGATGGGTATGCTAACAACCCTAAATATTCTCCTTCTGTAACAGTGTCTATCCAAACTGATCATCTTCACATGTATTTCAAACCGCTGTGTTAAAGAGAAATTTTACAAAAAACCATTTATAGCATTCTTCTGCAAAAACACAACTACTACTGTATCTTACTAATTCTTTTGAGGTTGTGAAACAGTGGAGAGCGTAGAGCATGATGCTAGTGTGGATATCTGGAGCCTTGGTGTCCTGTGCTATGAGTTTCTCTATGGAGTCCCGCCTTTTGAGGCCAAAGAGCATTCAGATACATATAGAAGGTAAAGTGTGACCTGCAAAATTATTAAAGTTCACAAAATAGATTCTATTATCACGTAACTTGTATGTGTGATGAGGAATTCTACATGGAATGAAGTACTTTTTATTAAAACAATAATCTTATGATACAAGTTTTCTCTGAATGAAAAAAAGATTAATGGGAGGTATGGAATTCTAGACATGGCTAATATGGCTCTGCTATTTGTCTTCACAGGATTGTTCAAGTGGATCTAAAGTTTCCTCCTAAACCAATTGTCTCTTCTCATGCAAAGGACCTTATTAGTCAGGTTTTTGTCCTCATGCTTTTGCACTTCAGTTCGAGTATTTGCTATCATTATTGCTTCAAAACAGAGGGTTATTAGTAATGTCTGAATTTTTTTGTTTCTTAAATGCAGATGCTTGTGAAGGACTCTTCTCAACGCCTGCAATTGCACAAGCTTCTAGAACATCCATGGATTGTTCAGAACGCGGAGCCCTCTGGCGTATATAGGATATAATTTGCCAAGCCAGATATAATGAAGGAGATAATGGCAGTAGAATTTAATTTTCTATGAACATCTGAACAATTTATCTTGCCGGCCTCAGCCAACTTTGTGATGTAATACTTCCGTGTATGAATCTATTGATAAAAAAAATGTTTGTTAATAAAAATTCTTTTTTCTTCGTGCTAAGCAGTGACTCGTATTAGTTTCTCCCATGTTTGCATTTGGTAAACTTTCAAATTCCCATTCATGCATGACCTCATGACCTCAGTTCCTACATGTAAGAAAAATTTCCTTCCATTTTCTGCCAGGGCACATTTATGGAAATGGTTGCGATTTTGACACCTCCAGCTCCAGTTTAATTTTGAGTTTTTCTATTTAAAACCTCACACTTTTCTTTGTTCACCTCAATACTTAAAATATTAAACTCTTAAGTTTATTATTGTGTAAAAAGACAAAAAAGATCATCCAACTTAATACTAAACCCTAGTACATCTATACACACTACCCCCCACTCTTCATATTAAGTTTTAGAAAAACACAAACCCCTCTGCACCCAATTGCCAGATTATTCCTCTTTATCCAAGAAACCTACTACACTCCTATTCTCTTTACAAACCCTAAATTAGGATTGTGAGAGTAATATAGGTGGATAGGAAGGGAGTGGATATTACGAATTCCCGACTTTGCATTCCTTCTTCACCTCTCTCTCCCTCTCTTTCTTTTATTAACAGATTTCTTCCATGCCTATGGCCCAACACTTCTGCCTGCCGTTTTTATTTCTCTCCTAAATTGACATAATGCCCTCAATAATATAAACGTAATGTTTATTGCATGCATGTGTATATATACAGTCCCCTTCTATTGAGGGATCCCTCAAATAATTTTATTTGAGGGACACACTTTAGGGTACTCTACGAATTTATTTTCAACGATCCAAACCGTCTATTTTTAAAGTATATATTCATAGATCATCCTTACAAAAAATTAGACAAATCGGAAACACGGTGCTTCAAAAAAGTACTAAAATTTCAAGAACTCAATTGAGTGGTCAAATGATATCGGATTCAAGTGATTTTTTTGTAGATATGATCTTTGAATGAGTATATACAAAATATATAGTTTGGATTAGTGAAATACAATCCGAAGTGGGCCCTACAAAAGGTGTCCCTCAAATAAGCTTATTCGAGGGATCCCTCAATGGAAACTCTGTGTGTGTATATATATATATATATATATAATAAGAAAATATACATTAAAATACCATGTGCCAGATCCATTTTCCAGAGCAGAACAAAATTCTTGATGAAGAACGACTACGCTTGTAAAATATTTATCACACTATGTTATATTGAAAAATTATAGAACCTGTTCTACCAAAAAAAATATTCGGGCGCAAAAGAATAATGATGCAATAATGCTTGCAAAATGTTGGTATGAAACTGCAAGATGGACTCGAAGATCTTAGGATTCTGGTGTGGGTGTGAGATTGATGAGTTTTTTTTTTTTTTTTCCTTTACTAGTTGTGTATTTAGGAGTAGTTTGGGAAGATAGTGAGGTTTTATTAGAAATTGTGAAAATTTGAATTAGAAGTTGAGGTGAACAAAGAGAAATGCAAGGTTTAAATAGAAAAACTCTTAATTTTTGACACTCCACTTTCCGTTTGACTGTATAAGAATAAGAATACTCAGTGTAGAGTGCCATAAACTAACATGGAGTAACATGGGAGTGTTAAAATCCCTACCCTTTGGAAATCGAAGCATAGCAAAGAAAAGTCGAATGAAATATCAACAGAACGCAGTTCTCATGTATGCAAATACGTGGAAGCAGAAACAGTCGGCATATGACATCGTTTTCATAGAACTTGTTGAATTGAGAAAGAATCTTTCGTTACAAGAAAACAATCATGCTCTATAGATACTGGAAGTCAAAATTTGAATTTCCCTCATCCACAATCTGGGGATGGTACGTCAATAACATCTGACCACTGATCATAACTTAAGGTGCTAAAGAAGCGAGAGCCTCGTGTGTTTTCATGTCATGCTAGGAATATCTTTAGTTGCAAACTTGCTGTCTTTACAATTTTCCCCTTCTAGCAGTTGAGTTGGAGGCTCTTCCCCTTCTTGGACTTCAATGACGTCTTTGGGGTTCAAGAAGCTCGGCTGGTTAGTTGAAGAAAGAAGTCGTGCCCACATCCTGTCGGTAATCACAACCTTGTTTTGCTTCTCAGTGATATGCTGTATAAAAAAAAATCAAACAAATTAATTACTGGTCGGAGCAACATTTAAATTTAAGATATCTAGCATGAAATTAGAGAAGATGCAGTTGATGGATAGCTATGTAAATAACTTATGCTAGAAAATAACTTGTAAAATAAAGGATAACTATGTAAGGGATGTGAAACATACATTAAAAGGAATGTAAGAATGCCTTCCATTGACAGGCCCACATATGAAGCCTGTGTACCCCGCCATTGCTCCATGAACAGCACTTTGAGCAAGGAGCGTGCAGTAGACATTATCAGCTGCATTGCTTGGAATAGCACGGATCATGTATGTAGGATCTGGCAAACAATTTAATCGGTTAGATGCTATTGCTTCTTATTTTGGTGAATTTTTTTAATGAGGAAAAGAAACCATTAAAGGAGGAAAATCTGGGGCGACTGACCTATATACTTGAGATTGATGGAAATCTTTTGTTGTCTCCCAAAATGATTCTGAAACAGAAGCAAACAATGGTTAACCAAACAAAAGAAATTTAAACAGATTCGTCAGTAAGATATCTGCATCAACTACAACTTCTCAGTTGCCAGTCGTAAATGAGGTTTTTTATTGGAAATTGAGAAACAGAGTTCGATTTCCTCTACTTTTAAATTATAATACAATTTCCAATTCTTATTCCACTCACGTGAAGAGTGAAAGGGAACTTTTATGACAGTAGATTCTTACATGAACAAGAAAAGCTTCGTGTGATGTGAAGAATGAAAAAACAGAGAGAGAAGGTTGCAAGCGATACCTTTATCCTCTGAGAAATCCATAGGCCAACATCTTTAAGTAGCTTGTTTCCTGAAGCATCCTGCTGGTTCATGGATTGCAAGCTCTCTGACAGAAGATCCTGTCCCGCACCCTCAGCTATCACAATAACCATATGCCCATTTTCTTTGAGTCGTTTTTCTATGTACTCAAAAAGTCCACCTCTTCCTTCAAGATAGAAGGGGGACTCCGGAATCAAACAGCAGTCCACATCTCGGCTGGCAAGTGTAGCATACATAGCTATGAAACCTGCATAAAGAAATCCAGTCTAAGTCAAAAGTTGTACAAGGCTGGTATCAGACATAACTACTACAAAAATTAACTGTTGTAATTTACGTTCCAAAAATTTTAAGCCATTAAGGGTATTTTTGAGGCATTGAAACAGAAAATGTAGACACAAAATGAGAATCTTTACCGCTGTAGCGTCCCATTAGCTTCACAACACCAATACCATTCTCAATACTTTCAGCTTCAACATGAGCTGCATTAATGGCACGTTGAGCCTCCTCAACCGCAGTATCAAAGCCAAAGGATCTGTCTATAACCGGAATGTCATTATCTATGGTTTTAGGAATTCCTGCAACAGAAACTTTGAGGCCGCGCCGTCTAATTTCCTGCACAGTGAGAAGTAAACTGTTTTAAGAATGAGACTGTAACATATAATTCATCAAGACAAGTCAGATACAGTTAAGCATGGAGTTATTCTTTAGTAGGGTCCAAAAAAAACTAGAAAGTAGCCACGATCCTTTATCATTGGCCTCAGTTATAACTTTAAGGTGGCCTCCATAATAAACTGTAAGGTCTACATCTAGCAATGCATATATATTATATAACAAATCCCACCTTTATGCGAAGGCATCAAACTTTCATCAGTTAGTGTAGAGTCATTTTACCTCATAGATGACAGCTGCTCCTTTTTGAGTTCCATCACCACCAATTATGTAAACCTGTTTCACAAAAAGCATGCCATGAGAGTCCCGTCTGTGTGCCTTGGCTGTGAGATATTATGTTCAAATTTACAATATATAGCGAACATCATACAGAAAAATAGTTAAGAAAAACTAATCCTTACCTGATTAATTCCACGATCCTGAATGCTGTCAACAATCTTTGAGGTATCATGTCCTCCTCGTGATGTACCAAGGATAGTACCACCACGTTTGTGGATGTCATTGACAACCTTGGGTGTTAAGTCAATGGTATTTCGGGCATAGAAACCCTTGTATCCTCCCTAATATATGTCAACATAGAATTTGTTAGCGAGACACATTGAACCTCAAGAAATGTCAACATAAACCACTCATATCTATTTCACAGAAGTAATATCAAACTATTTC